CACAATTGAAACTGTATCAAATAAAAGTAAATCTTTGCAATTTTATGTAAAATAAAAGTTTAAAAAATTGCTAAATATTAAAAAGTTGTCAATATATTGTTCAATTATTATATATTATAGACTATTCAAAGTGTTACTGTTTGTATGTACGAAAGTATTACATGTTTTTATTTTCTTTGCATAATAGTAATAACATTAATAAGTAGTAATTAATATTACACATCAATTAATTTTCCCATTACTTAATCTCCTATAAGGACACGGACCCTGAAGACCACAGCACCAGAGATTAAAGGATTGGAATCTTCACTGTGGTGGAAGATGATAATGGCACTTCTGCATCCCTGCAATATGTGATGAACCTCGCTAAAATCTTGGAGGAGGCCATAGTACTTCAGGATATCACACATCTGCCTGCAGCCTTCGCTTACTTGTTCAGCCTCTTGTATAGACTGAATATGGAACACCCAAAAGAACTCAAATATACTTTTTAAGTGATTCAGCATGTTTTATGGAGGTTGGTGGCACATGATCTGCGAGAGTTCAGTTCATTCATTCATTCATTTTCTTTTCGGCTTAGTCCCTTTATTAATCTGGGGTCGCCACAGCGCAATGAACTTGTTTTACGCAGCGTATGCCCTTCCGGCTGCAACCCATCTCTGGAAAACATCCATACACACTCATTCACACATACACTACGGACAATTTTAGCCTACCCAATTCACCTGTGCCACACGTCTTTGGACTGTGGGGGACTGTGGGGGAGAACCCAAAGGAAACCCACGTGAACGCAGGGAGAACATTCAAACTCCACACAGTAACGGCAACTGACCCGTGACCACTTCCTAATGTGCCACTGTTTCAATGTTTTGAGGTCTGTTTTTGGACTTTATGTACTTTGTTGACAAAAGTGCAGTACACTTTAAAGACTGTATGAATGGAGTGGCTTTTAGGGTTTACTCTGATTAGATGATTGTATATTCACCTGGTTTGAGTGTTTAGACACACTAATAGCTTGGTTTTAGTAAGGTTGCCAGTTATTTTATGTTGAGGCAGTGTACAATCTTTTCAAATCTGGAAACATTCAGTACTAGTTGTGTACAAACTAGCCCAATGCTGAACACGGCTAATGTCAAATGCTGATTTTGTATGCAAATGTTTTGGATTGTGATTTGAACACAGTTAAAAATAAAAAAAAGTGAATTGACTATTCTTGTGTATTTAATTTGAATCCTAAAAATTAATAGTAAATGCATAATGAATCAGTTTGTTTTATTTTGTTCAGTAAACTAAAAAAATCTTGTTGGGTAAACATAATCATTTTTGTTCAGTAAACAAAAGATCTTGTTGAATAAACGTGAAAATTTTTGTTCAGCAAACAAAAGATCTTGTTGAGTAAACATGATAATATTTGTTCAGCAAACAAAAATATCTTGTTGGGTGAACATGACATTTTTTGTTCAGCAAACAAAAATATCCTGTTGGTTGAACATGATATTTTTTGTTCAGCAAACAAAAATATCCTGTTGGTTGAACATGATATTTTTTGTTCAGCAAACAAAAATGTCTTGTTGGGTTAACATGATATTTTTTGTTCAGCAAACAAAAATGTCTTGTTGAATGAACATGATATTTTTTGTTCAGCAAACAAAAATATCCTGTTGGTTGAACATGATATTTTTTGTTCAGCAAACAAAAATATCTTGTTGGGTGAACATGATACTTTTTGTTCAGAGAACTAAAGAATTCAACAAAATATTTTGAGTTCACTGGTCTTCAAACCCTGTTTGTTGAGTTAACTCAAAAAGCTATGTGTGATAGGTTGCCTAATTATTTTAAGTTTACTCAACTTTTTTTTTTTACAGTGTAGGGAAGACAACAGAAACTTCTGTTCCATGCTGTCTTTAATATTCATTATCATTATTTTCTTGTCTCTACTTTTAGAGAGGGTAGCACAGTTGTTAGACCAGTTTGGTGCAATGATGCATGCTCCTTAGTCTTCTGTTGTAAGTTAAATTTTGATTGTTACACTCTTTCAGGCTGATATGCCTCTAGTTGTTTTTTTCATTCTGTTTTTCACGTTCTGAGGATAAATTAGATTGTGTCTCTCTTCCGTTCTGTAGCTCCCCGCCGGTGACTGATGTATCAAATCTTAGCCAGACAGATTGGGCTTAGAGACAACAAATCAATGCAAACCTGAATCAGCAACTAATGGGCTCCATAGAACTATTTCAAAAACAGTGTTAAGCTTTCTTGTTGAGAAATGTATGTACCTCATTTCCAAATTTTGTGTATGCAGAAGGCTGAACGTTTTATTCCTAAAATAGTTAATTCTACAGTTTTTTCTAAATTCCATGTATGAAAAGTAGTAATAGTTTTGCTTGCTTTTGCAAACACCACTAAATACAGTATGTTTGGGGAGATAAGAGCAATGTGCACAGAAACCCTGCTGCTCTGTCAGGACTCTGTGCTAGCCGCAGCTTAGCTTTGATTGGCTGGCTGTTAGCAGCGCCAGCTCATTTGTTGTTTGATTCAGAGCGGTAGGACATCTATCAGCTATCTTTGCCCGTCCAACAATGAAACAGCCAGGGAGGCAGTCTTCCCTTTGTTAGCAGAGTGGTTAAAGGTTGTGTAAACGAATGAGTGATGTGGGGTACTTGCAGTGTAATTGGCCACTAGAGAGCAAGATCTGTATTCTCAGCAGAGCACAACTCTTGAGTCAAATTCATCGGTAGGTCAAAACAGGGAGATTGTTGTGCTGAATCATGATGCCTTCAGTTCAGCAAATGCTGGCATATCGTTTTACATGTGCAGCAGCTACCTTGTGGGTAGGCTGAGCTGCATGTAAGTGATCAATTATGTAGTTGAGTTAGGCAAGATTGTATTGTTTATTGAGAGAGCAAAGAATAATAAATGTGCTTGAAATGAGAGGCAGTGTTGGAAATACCTTTGGGAGCAGACAGTTCAATCACTCACACACAAACACATGCTGGTCTGTTCACACAAAGAATAAACTGAAAAAGCAAAACAAATTAAGAAGAGAAGGGGAAAAATCTGTGCAATGCTAGTTTCAGTGCAGCCAAGAGATAACTTAAATGCAGTGGTCATGGGCATATATCAGTGGTTTCCAAAGTTGGGGTCGCGGGACTATGAGAGGTTGATAGGTGATTTAAAAAATAATAATAATTATAATTTTAATAAACTGTTCGAATTACCTTATTTTATCTATAACATACTGAAGAACAAACCAGTAGTTGATTGTAACATTGTTAACATGTTATTTAAAAAAATTGAAAAAACAACATGCAAATAAAAAACAGTCAGCCTTTTAATTATTTATTTTGCAACCCCTGGGGTGATTACTTCATTATTAGAAACACAGCAATAGCGTCAGATACAGCACATAGATTTTATGGCACCAGGTTAAACTCTCTGACATCTTTACGGCACTCATGTACATTAAAAGTATATAAAGGCCACAACTGAACATGAAGGATAGTCTCAAAGTGGCGTTCTTTAAAATTCAACAATGTATAGACAACTTTTGACAATGAATAGACAACATTTTTTGCAAGGTTTATATATTCAAAACCACTTCAGAAAAATATTGGTGGTCTTGAGTCACTGGCATTGTTAGTTTGGGAGTTAGGGGCTGAAAAGTTTGAGAACCCCTGACATATTTTATGTTCGCTAAGATATATAACATGCTGTAAAGTATATTTACATATGTAATGAGGGGGATTTTTGGTATTTTTGGTATTTTGTGACAAATTGGGTAAGAATATATAAAACATTGTCTGTTTTAACTGAAATGTTGGGTTATATCACTTCCCTTGTATTGCTGCACCGCAAAATGGGATGACAAACAGGAAAACTGACCAAGAATTTAATGAAAACCTGTCATAAATGTAAGCATTTTTCTGCAATGTCATTATATTAATTTAATTTAATTTAATTAAATTGTATTTTATTTTACTTAATGTGTGCTAAAGGTGACCCAAAAATACTGTAGATTTTAGTTATCATGTAACTAATAATAAACAATATTGGGACCATCAATATAAAGTTACATCATTTATTAATTTAGCATTCAGATCAACTATAACTCTATAAATTCAAAAAAAGTGTGTGTGTATATATATATATATCATAAAAGTTTTAATAAATCAATTCTAAAAACTGATTTTTTTTTTTTATCTTTGCCATGATGACAGTAAATGCTTTTTTTTTTTCAAGACACTTCCATACAGCTTAAAGTGACATTTATTAAAGGCTTAACTAGGTTAATTGCATTAACTAGGCAGGTTAGGGTAATTAGGCAAGTTATTATATAAAGATGGTTTGTTCTGTAGACTATCGAAAAAAAAAAAAAAAAAAAAAACACAATTGCTTAAAAAGGTTAATAAATTTGACCTAAAAAATTATTCATAAAGAATTAAAGCTGCTTTTATTTTAGCCAAAACAAAAAAAATAAGACTTTCTTCAGAAAAAAAAAAAAAAAAAAATATATATATATATATATATATATATATATATATATATATATATATTATCAGATATGCTGTTAAAATTTCCTTGCTCCGTTAAACATCATTTGGGAAAAAAAACTCATAGGGGGGATAATTCTGACTTCAACTGTATGTATATATATATATATATATATATATGTGTGCGTGCGTGCGTGCATGCGTGCGTGCGTGCGTGCGTGTGTGCTTGTGTGTGTGTGTGCGTGCGTGCGTGCGTGCGTGCGTGCGTGCGTGCTTGCGTGCGTGCGTGCGTGCGTGTGTGCGTGTGTGCTTGTGTGTGTGCGTGCGTGCGTGCGTGCGTGTGTGCTTGCGTGCGTGCGTGCGTGCTTGCTTGCTTGACTGGTTGTGTGATCCAGGTTCACATTTTTAACTGGGATTTTCCCTAACATTGTTTTTAAAACATTACTGTCTGTTGTATTTTCTTCACCTGCTACCTTCTATTTGGCTCTAACTTCTTCATCTCTTTCCTTGCAGATTGTTTTTGAAGCCACAATCTCCTCTGAGCAGAAGGGTTACATCGGCCTGGATGACATAGTGCTGTTAAACTACCCCTGCTGTAAGTTCTGTCCCTTCAAACACACAGAAACACACTCCCACTGACCTTTTCCTGCTTAGATGGGGGGTGTAAGACCAAGTTGGCCCACCCGGAATGAGGAACAAAGGTGGTCATTTCATTCCGCCAGAGTCTTGGGGTGCTCACTTTTGATCTGAATAGCCATCATGAAAGACAATTATCCACTGACACTTTTGCCTTCCATTTCCCTTGTTCTTATGCCACGTCCACTTCCCACAGCTGACCTTTTGTGCAGATATCACTCCATCTCTCGCTCCCAGCAGTCGCCGTCTCAGATTTATTTATTTTCTGGGGGAAGAAGAAAGAAAAAGGGCTTCTCGCTTTGGCTTTTGTGCCCTGTGTGCCACTACTTAATCTGTAGCTTCAGTCAGGCGTGAATGAGAGCGAATCTCCTGTGTCCGTCTTTGGACTGTTATTTTTCTCTCTTCTTGTGCTTCCCTTGTCCTCACACACCTGCTGACCTACACTCCATTAGCACTGCAGGAAGTGTATTTTTAGTGGACAGCGCATAATTCTGCTCCAGTAGTTTGGACTGGGATGCTTGAAACCACAGCCCGCCATGAGTCTGGATACCTGCTGGCTTCTGGGAAATGCGGTGCGCTCATGCTGACAGGAATGCTGCTGAAAGGAGATTGTATGTGGATGGAGATCGTGGTGTTGAATTGTGAGACGCCGTTTGTGGCCTGCTTTAATTTGATGGAGTCGACTGTAGACCACCTGTGTTTCACTTTTACCCCCCACAGCAAGAATGAAATTGCAAATGCCCCAGAATCAGACACCTAATGGACACATGAAGACTTACCCATCCTTGCAAACCTAGCTTTTACATATATTTAAAGAATTAATTTGTTCTGCATAAGTACGCAGACGGTCTTTTGAGAAGAGAGGAAGCCATTGCAATGAAAATTTAACAAAACTTGCTATGAGATTAACACTCATTAGCGGTAACACCCCACTATTACTGTTAGGGTTAATGATATTATGCAAAACCCCTTGTGTTATGACACGTTGATGCATAACTATCTTACAAAACATCTTTTGAGCTTCGATTTTATGGTTCGGCCAGGATAAATCAAGTTCTGTTTGATACCTGGACAGTTTAAAGCTCTTTCTGTTCAGTGCTGTTTTAGGTTGATAAAACCTTGATTATTGCATTTGGAAATACTCTGGACTCTGGAATTCGCAAGAATCTTTAAAATTGATTTTCTTGCTGTACGTTTCCCCTTCACCCCTAAATTTAGATTCTGTAATTGCACTAAAACCATTGCCGTCTACCCAGAGTAAGATAATACAGACAGAACTCTTAGTGATCAGCACCTTGGACAGCTCCACTTAGAGCCAATGTCACTGGATTGACGTCACTATTCTCAATAGAAGTATTGGGGTCAGGAATATTCTTTCTTTCTTTCTTTCTTTCAAAAAAAAAGAGAAACATTACAAAATCACATTTCAAAATATGTATTAATTTTGATAAATTTATATTTATTTAATAAAATATATCTTTACAAAAACTTACATTAAATACATAATTTTTAGTTGTTATATATACATTATAGTAGAAGATATGTCCTCTACCATACCCCCTAAAACTATGGCCCTGCTTATAGGTATTTAATGGTGTGTATCATTAAAGGCACATGGAAAAAAATTATTTGTTCACTCAGCTTAGTTTAGTTGTCATCTTGTTGCTTTTACTCAATTAAGTTGTGTTGACTAAATACTCTTAGTTTTCTGAACTTAAAGTGTTTAGTTGACAGAGTTACATAATTGACCCAACTGCTTATATCAAGTTAACTGGACTTGCAAAGTTTAGTTTTAATAGGTTAACTTAGATTATTAATTTAGCAGAACTTGCTAAGTTTAGTTTAAATGCAGTACATTGACTTACATTTTCAAGTTCAATAAACTTAATCTAGCAGATTTTCTTTTTCGATCAAAAACAAAACAGACAACAAAATACCTTACACATTCTATTAAAGGTCTTCACCCCCAATTCAGCAATTACACATAATGTAATTACACTATAATTCTTTTTACAAAGTGTTATTTCTTATGAAGTAAGTTTTTTTTTACAAAGTAATTGTAAAATAAAAGTAATCTCAACAAAATAATAATAATAAAAAATAAATAAATAAAACTCTAAAATTAACAACTAACACCGGCTCTTAAAAATAAAAAAGAACAACACCACTTGTTTATGTCTCAACATCTTTATTTCAATGTATTTTTATATGAGTACTCTTGCACTGCAGATATCTGCTCCAATGTTCATGAAAAGTTTATGAATTCCAGGGGTTATCCCTTTGCTCACCTCCTTAGAATGAGAAAATCACATTTGGGTAAATATTGTCAATATTTACTTAGATGTTTTACTACTGTAAATTTATGAATGGAAATACTGGTAAAAAATATTTTGTGTATTTTATATATCCCCTTTAATAAGTCGATCTGCTCTCTAATCACAATCTTTAAAATTAGAAGAGTACATTCAAATGAATTACTGTTAATATTTTTCAATAATATTTTCTACGGTATATAAATGGGAGATTCATTAAAATCTGTATAAATGATCTGTTCTAGATTAATCAGAGAATTAGAAAAGTACTAGTTTTATACTCATATTGAGATATTACAAATTCAAACCTAAAACTAAATTTACTAAGCTTTATAAGTGTAGCCAAACTCCACATGTACAGTATTAGCAAAGGTCTAATCTGTTCTAAAAACATTTATACTGGAACAATAGATTGACTCTCCGTTCAAATCAGTTAAAACATTTCACAAATTTGAAAAAGCATTATTTACCAAATGTGATGATTGAGCAATTGAAAAATCTGGTGAAAAATATCCCATGTGTCTGATTTTTTTCTAGTGACTTTCAACACCTGCTGGATTTGAAGTAAGGGGTGCAACTTAAAGGATGCTGGTTCAGCATATGTATTTAGGTTGAGTTGACAAACACTCTATTACAGACTAGTTGAGACAGCGAAAATTTACCAGGTTAAGTTACATTTAGTCATTTAGCAGACATTTAGTCATTTAGCAGACGCTTTTATCCAAAGCAACTTCGTTGTTTCAACTTACAAAATCATGTTGAAAAAACTAAAATGCAGAATCATTCTTACAGTGCATCAATAAAATGTGTCATTAAAAGAAAATAAATATCATGTATAGTCGTTTCTTAAAAGCACATTGTAGGACTGGATTCATTGACACTCTTTATTAAATTTGTAAACAGCTATTGAATGTAATTTTGCAATATTAATGTTGTTACAGTACTTTATTTTTGACCAAATAAATACAGCTACAGTGAGCATTGACACATATCTTGCCTTTTTTAATGTGCTGACTCCATCAGGTAAATGTGCTGAAGATCTGACTTTCAGTATTTCACAGTATTCGCCTCACTTTTACTTGGTGATGCATTATTAAAGTGACTGCCAAAGCATCCCGGGGTGAAATCAAATGAATGAAATTTGAGGTTTAGCTAGTAACAGTTTATGGATGGGGGAAAATATCAATTTACTGATAACACATGGATGTGCAGTTCTATCATATTCTTTCAAAAAAAGTTAATATTTAATATTATAGAACAGCAGTTATATCTGCTGTTGCAATAATCTGGATTCTGACATATATTTGTGTAAAACTTGTACAGTAACAGTGAATATTAGAGACAGGAAGACAATGCTCAGTTTGGCAAATTTGCACATTGCTGATGGAGGCCAGATGTAAACATGGCAGAAACTGCTGACAGTCTCTGCAAACCTAAAATACAATGTTAACTAATCACACTTTATATCCTGACAGCACATTATTTTGCTTGTTTACTTCATATTTACACTTATTAAAGCAACTAGTTACATGCACTTGCACAGTTATTACTCTAATAAATAATATATAATACAATGATCAGTAACAAATCCGAAGCAATCCAAAAGCAAGAATGAAGACAGTAGGACAGGAGCACAGACAGATCTCACACTCATCCATGGGAGTTACATTTAAAAATCTGACAGGAGACTGAAATAGGAGGGCTTTTATAATCTGATGAAACAATGGGCAAACAAGCAGATGAGATAACTAGGAGTGGCAACAATTACTGTAATAAATGGGTTTAAATTTATAGGAACAAAACATACAAATAGGACACTATAACACAGAGACACACTGACTATGACCGTAGGAAGCAAGTCACATATTGACAGTTAACATATATATTTTAAACAATTAATTTAAAAGTTGGAAATAAAGAACATGTTCAATTGACAAACTCTGACCAAGGGCAACAGATGACAACGGGTAGCATGTTGATTCAACAAACACCAGCAGACTGGTTTGTTGACGTTTGTCTGTGTGATGTGAAGTGGATTTTTAAGTGTAGACACAAAACAGCTGTCTTTAAACATGCATTCCTTAATAGCACAGTCATTTATAAAGTGGTATGCAATTTGTTGCATTTAAAGATGATTTTATTCTCTTGCAAGAGGGTAAGATTACCTTTCCACAATAATAGAAATAAATATAACAATTTGTTTGTTTGTTTGTTTTTTTTGGTTATATGTTTTTCTCAATTATATATGTATTTACAATTTAAAATGTTTAGTTGATAGAGCTAAATGTTTGACCCAACTATTTATTTCAACTAACCTTGACTTGCAAAATGTAGTTTTAGTTTGTTAGCTTACATTTTTAAGTAATCAAAACTTGCAGTTTAGTTGAAATACAGTGCATGAACTCAAATGTTAAAGTTATCTGTACTAACATTTAGGTTCACTGAACTTAACATATTTTCTCAATTAGCAATAGCACAGACAACCAAATTTAAAGGGCACATAGGTTACCCTTTTTTCATATTTATTATAAGTCTTTTGTGTCCCCAGAATGTGTCTGTAAAGTTTCAGCTCAAAACACCCATCAGAGTATTTATTATAGCTGTTTGAAATGTCTGTATTATAGCTGGGAAAAGGTTGTTGCCGTTT